TATATATATATATATATATATATAACACATATTATATATTCATAAAAACTTGGATATATTTTAAATAATATTTTCTTAAAAACATAATTGAAATAATATTAAGTATAAGAATATTTTTTCTATCTCATAAGTTGAGATGAAATTAAGAAGAGATTAATCATATATATATATATTTATATCATAAAACGCGAAACGATAGAACATAACCTCTAATATTATTCCTCATCTAAAGTATAATTCTAAGATTGTCGGTGGTAGAGAAGCATGCATAATTCGTAATCACCCAATCAAGACGTAGGACGGTAAAATAAGCGCTGCTGTGTTGGGTTTTCGCTACCGTCGGCTTTCTTGTCATCGCAAGGGAACACAACATGGCGCCTCTTACTTCGTACCCTTCCATCATCCTCAAACTTTTTTCTTTACTTCATTCCACTCTTTTCGCATAACCTTTTTCGTTTTACTTCCAAGTATGTATAACCTATCCAAAAAAAAAAAAACAAAAAAAAAACAAAAAACTAACCTAAAAATATACAAAAAGAAAATGGATCGAGCTGAGGTCACGCATCTCTTTTTCCATTGGAGGCTTCAATTTGAGGACGTGGTAGCGTGTTTCGTGTCGGAACGGAACGGGAATTGAACAGAAATAAAGAAAAAGAAGGAAAGCTTTCTGCTGTTGCTGTTGCTGTTGCTGTGTTGTTGCTGTTAGTACGCGAAAAATACGTTCAACGTACACTTACACATAGAAAGCAAAAAAAAAAGAAAAAAGAAAAAAAAAGAGAGGGTTAACACACAGTCATCTCTCTGCGTTCCTGCCACGTACCTTGGGCGTGGTGCTTCCTTTTTTCTTCCTCTTAGTCGACTAACATAGCAGATCTCTCCTCATTGGCCCCGAGAATGCCAACGCGTCGAGAACGAGATTCGAAAGTCGCAGGAGGGAAGAAGAAGAAGAAGAAGAAGAAGAAGAAGAAGAAGAAGAAATAATGCACGTGAAGGGAATTTCAAATTTTCGATTTTCCACCATTCGACGATAAACTTACCCCCACTTTTCTTACAATCCTTCCCCCTCCCTTTTACTTTTACCTTATTTCAACATCCCCATTTCTTCCGTTCACCCTCTTTCGACGTCATCGATCGAATTTTCTTCTTCTTCTTCTTCTTCTTCTTCTTCATTTTTCTTTTTTTTTTTTAACATATATATGTAGGGATAGAAAGTTTACGTCATTTAAAGTGTAATGTATGAACCCGAGACACACATCATCGATCGATATTATTCTTCTTCTTCTTTTTTTTTCGTCGTACGTATGCTTCTTCTTCCTTCATGTTATGAACATAAACGCTCCTTAACGTTTAGCGATTGTACATGTGTGTATGCATCCCTGAGTTTACACATAGGGGTAGTTTTTCCGATGAAATATTGTTCACGGGCCAAAGGGGGGCAACAGGGTCGTTTGTTTGATATGTGTGGTATTTTTTTTTTCTTCTTTTTCGATTGATCGAAATAACCATTTGTGTAGGACCATATCAAATAACGAACCTAACCTAATAATACTTCAAATTCATCTAATTCTACAATTATTCGCAATAGTTTTTAACATATCAAATTGAAAATGATAAATTTAATTAAAATTCATTTACATTTATGATATGTGTGTTATTTTTGTTCTTCTTTTTCGTTCTTTAGATTTGATTGATCGAAATAACCATTTATGCAGGACTAAGTCAAACGATGAACTTAACCTAACTTAACATTTATTTATTCGCAATAATTCTTAACAAATCAAATTGAAAACGATGAATTTAATTGAAATTTATTTACACATTATTTTAATTTCATATTTAATACATATTATTAACTTAAAAACAATAATTAAAATGATATCGGTTAGTCAAACAAATTCTACTTGTAATAAATAATACATCAGGTTAAGAACACGAGAAAAAAAGAAATGTTCAAATAATAATTATCGATAAAAGAAAATTTCTTGTACCACAAAACCCATAGGGAATTGTTGGAAAACTATTTTTCCAAGACTCCTCAGGGAACACGGGGAACTAAGACGGGACGTTTAAAAATAGGCTGAAGTGTAAAAGAAAAAAAGGAAAAAAAGAAAAGTAAGAATAACGATACGTCGTCATCGATGAAGGTAAAAAAACAAAAAGAACAACGACAAAAAAAAAGAAATGAAGTGTTGGGTGAAGATACTTGGGTACGAGTTTACGGATAATCATTAACCGTGCATGACTTATGACGTTCCGACGGTAGTATTATACTACGTGTTTCCATACTTCGTTACCTCGTTGAAATATGTACTAGAACGAAATAGAAATAGAAAAAAAAAGAGAGAAAAAGAAAAAGAAAGAGAAAGAGAAAGAAAGGTAGAGTAAAAGAGAGGTGTAGGAAACTAAAAAAAAAAAAAAAAAAAAAATCGAAAGAATATCTAACCTAAGTGCGTAGTTGAAGTAGATTACTATACTCGTATTAGTGTTTTAACGTTAGTGGGAAAGAGAGGGTTAAACTAAAAGGTGAGATAGTCGGTGATCGATAAAATCGATCTAGCAAGGAGCGAGTTTGAGCACATGGATCACGTTCCGCACAAATCTGCTTGATCTAACTTGACTTATATTTATCTCTCTTTCTCTCTCTCTCTCTCTCTCTCTCTCTCTCTCTCTCTCTCTCTCTTATACACGTTCTTTTTTTCCCATACTAACTCTCTTTCTTTCTCTCTTTTTTCTTTTTTTATCAACGTCTTTCTATCTTGATTTCGTTTTCTCGACAAAAGTTCACTTCACGCTTTTCTTTTATTTCTTCTATTCATATTTTTCTTTATTTTTTTTTATTATTATTATTATTAATAATCATGCTTGCGAAACAACCCTCGAGATCTCGTCACTAATAGATCGTTACTAAGATTAAATATATTTTTTTTATTTGTATCGTTTTTTTTTCTTTTTTTATTGCTATCTTCTTCTTCGATCATTTATTTATAAATCCCTAATAGTAGGACATTTTATCTAATCACTGTTATAATATTAAAATAACCGTGTTTGTGCGTTTAATATTTATTGAAATAGTTAGGCCGAATTACCGAATTGAAAAATTGTCTTGGACTTAAATTAATTTTATGATCGATTTCTTATTTCAATTATTGATATTTAATGATAAATCTAAATCATTTATCAATCATTTTTCTTTTTTCTATTTTTTTTTTTTTTATTTTAACTCGTATATTCCATACGATTTGTTTTTTTTTTTTTATACATCGACACAAACTCGTTTGAAAGCCAATTATTAATCAGAAAATATATTAAATGATTTCGAGAGTAAACAAAAATTTATTTATTTTTATGAATATTTTTCAAACAATCCCAAATCTATTCGAATGAAACACACTGTAGATTAATGTAAAAAGGAGGGGGGAATAAGAAAAAAAATGAATTCATATCATCGTACTTTCAATTTCATTGTTCT